CCCCAAAACCCCAAAACCCCAAAACCCCAAAACCCCTGGGTGACATTTCTGAATTGAAAACTATTATGGCTCCACATAGTAATAAGTAAATGCTACTCTGTACTGCACAGGAGTGGTGTCACTTACAAATGTTACATCTTTTTGTAATAATTGGGGTTTTATAGCCACTATGTAAGAGTGCAAGTCGTTTTTGTACCCCTTCCTAGAGTAGAGGATTTGGTACTCAACTCCAGTGATCATGCTTGATCATGTCGTGCCTGAGAAAGAAGGAGCTGTGCTTGCTGGGGCTGTGATGATATTCGTCCATTTGTTCGTCACCTCAGCATCTCCGTAACTTCCAAACTGATCAAATTGGTTAAATGCAGAATATTGGGTGTAGTCAGTAGCTGTTCATGCAGATTGAAGAGCTGCCGAATCTGCAAATGTTACATCTCATTGTAAGTTTATAACTTCATTAAAAGTAAGATAGTCAATGTTTACGTTTGTTTGAGTAATAGCTTGAATTCATTTTCCATTTGCTGAATCTGAAATTTCTTTTGAATATCCAACAGTTGTCCCAGATTGTAATTTAACAAGAAGTTTCTCACCAGACAAGTATCCAGGATTCCCTGATTTTTCAACAGGAGTTCCAGTATTGCTGATAAACTTTGTTTTTACTTTCAATTCGGCAACTTCGCCATCTGCAAGAGTACCAGTGGTTGTATCATAAGCCATCTGTACATTTGAAATCAAAAATCCATTTGCAGACAAATTAGTTAATTTGTATGTAAACTCAAGTGAAGTAATTCTATTAGCACAATCGGTTCCTGCTGTAGCTGGTGTTTGTGTACTAGGAGTAGTGATAGACACATTTCTCAAGCAGCCCCTTCCGGTACAAATTTTAAGATTGCTGTAATATTGAGAGCTAAAGAATGCTGGACATTCTGTTGTAACACTAGTCAACTTATAATATCATGTAAATTCAGAATCAACACCGAATACAGCTTGAGAATTGAATTCTCAGTTTCCGTAAGATCCTAATGAAGGGAATTTAAGATCAAGGAAAAGTCCTCTTGTTGTATCAATTCTTTTTATGGTATCTCCTTTGTTATAAAGAGTAAAACCATCTGATGTGTAGACTTCAGGATCATCGGAAGTATCAATCCAGTCGAACCATCTATTGAAAATTGTTAGATCTTCAGTGGAGTTCAGAGGATCAAATTTGATTTCACTGAAACTATCATCATCATCTGAATCATCACGACTGACACAGATTTGAGGCTTGCTGTCATTATCATCAATTGAGATTCCCATTCTTTTATTTGTCAATGCAATGTAATCCTTATCCATGCACCTAGTTTCAGGCTTGAGTTCTTCAAATATGACAGAGTTACAAAAAGAGGTTGCATCTGCTTCCCATAACTTAAGTGTGCTAGCAGGGCAGTCTGTATCACAACAACATGAGACATCACAACTTCCAACTGTAAGGTCTCAGGAGCAGTTTGAAATATCCTCATTGCTGGTAGCAGTTGTGTTCACTGCTGTGATGCTATAATTATCTCTGAATTGAGCTTTAGCTAAAGTCATGAGAACTAAAGCCACCAATAAGAATTTAACCCTTGTTTCCGCCATTCTCTATAAATAAATTATTCAATTTAAAATACTATGATTGGGGTTTTGGGGTTTTGGGGTTTTGGGGTTTTGGGG